CTTCTCAATCTCACCCTCCCAGTTTTGGGCGTCTGAATCCACATCAGGTTAGCCGTTCGACCCTACTGTTGGACGGATTCCCTGCGTTGAAACATGTGCCTGCTATTGCCGCATCATGCCTGAGTACCTACTGCTGCTGAAACCTTTGAAATTGCCACCGGACGACCCAGGATAGGCGTCCCCCGTCCCGGATGTCCCTTGCGTCCCGCCCGTGTTCCTTGCCGGTCTCCTGTAATATAATATAAGGCCTTCTGCTAGATACTGGTCTGGTTTGGTAAGCCTCGCGTCCCGACCTGCCTCCCCCTATGTCCCCTACGTCCCTCGCGTCCTCCGCGCGTGCTTGCGTGCCGCACTGCCTAGTCTGCAGCCCAAATCTTTATGCACAGTATACAGCAATGACCGGCCTCGCTTCCGTCGTTGCGGAAATCTCGGGACAACAGGACGAACCAGTTGCAGTCCTCCCATCAACGCCGACCGGTCTCGCATCAATCCAAACGCAGCGAAGTCAGCAGTTCATTAGGCAGTAGATAGCATAGACCGGACATGCTAATGCAACGCATGGTAGCGAGGGAGGAGCCTCGTTGTGCGTTAAGATATCGAAGGCCGTCCTGACGAGAGGTCGTCAAGTCATCGCCGACATCCCTGCTTCGGACAGCTTCAGCCGCGGAGCGCAGCGTGAAAGTTCTCGAGCACGCTCTGGTCGTTGTAGGTTAACGCCAGCTCGGACATGGTTGCTTTCTGGAACTCGTTGTTAAGGCCCGGGTGCCTTGTGGCCCGAGATGCGGAAGGCTGCAAGGTGCCACTGAGGCATTCAACTCGCGGAACCACGAAACCCAGTGACTTTGACCTTCCAAGTGCATCTCTTCCAACTTGCCAGGGTGCCCAACATCGTGCATAGCGGCTGCTATGACCTTGATTGGGAAGTCTCCTCTCTTCCAGTGGCAAAGGAGCGGTGCAGCTCATGATGCCGACTGTATTTCAGCAGGGCAGCGCTAACGGTGTAATCCAGGAGCGACGTTCGCTGCATGAAATACGGTTGCCGAAGCAACCAACAAGTCGTTGCCATCACCTTGAAATCGCATCGGCGCGTCACAACTGCCAAGCAAGTAATTATCAGCCTGCAGTCAGGATACATCTGTAGCATGGACAGAGCTGTGATAGATGGCCTGCCAAGATGCGCACTGCTTTGCAATCCTGTGCTCTACATTAGGGGCAATGCACGTTACCTTGCAGGGATCCTCCTGGCAGGAATCGCGGGAAATGGGATTTGTCGCGCTGTCGGGCCCGACATGTTTCTTGGCGAGACGTTGAACGGATGCTGATCTTCTGCGCATGGCATCCGGAAGTGCAGTCTATGAGACAAGGCCATTTCGCTCGGGGGAGGCTTTGTCGCCCCTCGTCTCTCGCCGACGGGCAGATGACTTAGTCATGCCCTACAAGCCTGCTGAACAGTTGCAGGTCCAGGTGACACACTCCTACC